ATACAACATGATTTCTAATCTTTGTCCAGTTGATCAGTTTTGTGTAACTATCTGATAATGTCTAATTTAAAAACAAATAACTGATGCTCTTGAACCTAAAAAAAGGTTATTGATGTTACTGTGGAGGACCAGAGAATATTATTTTAAATTCTTCTGTGCCAGAAGATCACTGGTAGAAAAGCTCAGCTCAGCAGTAAGAGTGTAACACAGCCCTGAGCAACATGCAGATCACATTGTATGGCCAAAATTTAAGTGCGTTTTAATGAAGAATGCAAGCCATGAGCAGAGTTGTATAAAATGATTAATAAAATTCTTCCGTTGTCCCCTTTGTTTCAGCTGCAAGACGTCCAGAATCACAATGTTGTACAAGAAACCATGAAGAAGCAGGACTACTTGGAGAGGTACAATTGAAACTGGCACACCAAATAGCTTGAATATTTACAAAGAGGATGATTGTAGTATGGGAGTGGTATCAGTGAAACCAGAGAAAATTTTCAGCCTTAAACCATTTTAAAATGCAAATGTTCCATGTTATCCCTATATTTGTGCTTATCCAGAAAACACATTGAAAAATGGTAGTTACTGAATGATTTACTTTTAAATCATTCAAGGATGAATGTAAATTATATCTTAGATGTTAATAATGTATGTGGTTGGGTTTGTATTTACATATGGAAACAATTAATTAAAATATGTTTCAGCCTTGAAAGTGAAAACTTGCAGTTAAAACTTACAATCAAAGAGCAATCAGACAAAATAAAAGAGATTCAGCAAAACCTGTTAAGTTCAAGTTCAGTAAGTCAATTATACAAAGTTTATGCCTGTCACAGTTTTGTATAAGATATTTTAGGAATGTAAAGGGTTTCTAATACAAATTTTTTTATTTATATGCATATTCTTGGCACTCTTAGTGTTTAACCTCTTGTTTTAAAAGAAATCAACTGGATTCATAGACTTATTTTGGTAGTAACATTTTAAAAGTCATGGTAGTCTAAAAATAACATTTCATATATTTTAAATTTTTGCTCAACCACTTTGAACATTTCCCTTTGATTTCTATGAATATGTTGCTCTGAGTAATGATACAAAACTTTTTGTTTAAATTCTTATATTTTTCAAAATTTTTTTTCCTGAAAGTCTAAAATACTTTTTATGAGATTGTGTGACTGAAATACTTTTATGCTATAATCCTGTCAATATTGGAAAGTAGGTGATTATACAAGATTTTTGCAATAATGGGAATTTAGGAGAGAAGGAGAGATTAGTGAATAAGCAGAGATGATTCCCCAAGCACATATTACCAGGAACATAATGCTGTTAGCATTATAAGTTTGGAAACTAACTTTCCATGAATATGTGTTTATAAGCCTTTGAAGGGCATTATCAAATCTTACAAAATATTGGTGTGTGTGTAATCCATAATACCCATTTCTACATGCATAATGGAAACTACATAATTATGTAATTGACTAAACAGGATTGTCCACTCCTGCTTTCCTTTGTAAAAATTAAGACCAAGGGCTGGTGTGGTGGTGTAGCATGCCAATCCTCTGCTCACTAGTGCTGGCACTCCATGTGGGTGCCTGTTCATGTCCCAACAGTTCTATTACCAAACCTGTAATAGAACAGGTTCTCGGCTTATGGCCTGAGGAAGCAGCAGAGGATGGCTCAAGTTCTTGGGCTCCTGCACCTATGTGGTGGACCAGGGAGAAAGTTTCTAGCTTCCAGTTTCAGATGAGCTTAGCTCTGACTATTGTGGACATTGCTGAAGTAAACCAGCTGGTCAAAGATCTCTCTCTCTCTTTCCTTCTCTCTTTGTAAAATTCACCTTTAATATTAAATAAATCCTTGAAAAATAAGATAAAGAGACTGTATGTAAACACTAAATTAAATCAGTTTAAGTGGCGACTCCTCATATTTAGTATCAGGATCTGTGCTAGATTTTTTTTTTCCCTTGCATTGTAGAGAAACACTTCAAAATTCCCAGTTACTGGGCAGGTATAGCCCAGTAGTGAAGGGTGAAGGCACCTCAGTCTAAGAGAAGAATGCTTGGGCATGATGGCTGTAGCCAGCTCTGGCTCTGGATCCTAATTCCATCTTTCTGCCTGTGGCGGCCCTGGCAGATGGCGGCCCTGGCAGATGGTGACTCAAGTACTTGAGTCCTTGCCATTCATATGGGGAATAAGGACAGAGCTCTGGTCCCTGGCTCTCCCCAACTACTGGGGTATTTATCAGGTGGGAACTCTTGCTGTTTGACTTAGTGTGCAACCTGTAATTTCAACCAGACTCGGTGAACCACTAATTTCTTCTCACTTGACATCATCTGCAGTGATTTAAAATTGGAGATTAGAAATAATATAAACACTCACTCATATATTTGATAGTTGAAATTGGCTTTTGGCTGATTATTCACCTCGAGGTTTGTTGGTTATCACAAATTGATTGTTGGGCTATAAGCATGAACTTGTATATTTGGGAACTGCATCACATTTGGTAACATTAAAAGGTCACAGAGAAGTTCTGTAATATTCTATTTACTGAGGCCAGTTTATGTTAAGGGGAGGGGATTTAACAGGAGAAATATCAGAAAAGTTGTAGACTTGTTCTGAATCCAGCATTCTACTGGCCTTTCTAAAATTCAGTAATGATTAGGTCTGCAGGAAATTAGCTCTTCCTGATTCCACACAAATGACGCTCTAACAATGCTTTTTTCTTGTTCTTGTGTAGCACAATTCCTTATTTTGTGAGAAGTTTCAAAAAGCTACAAAACTGCATTACTAATATTACTTATTAGAGAACATAGGAATCATGTTGCATCTTATATCCACCAGAAAATATAATAGATCATTTTCCTCAAGAGTGATTACTGTTTGAAATGGAATTCAGTGTTGTGGTGTGGTAAATTAGGCCTCTGCCTGCTGTTCCACCATCCTACATGTGCACCCGTTTTAGTACCAGCTGCTGTACTTCCAATCCAGCTTATTAATTATGGCCTGGGAAAGCAGCATAGGATGGTTCCAATCCTTGGGAACCTGTACCCACCTGGGGGATCTGGAAGAAACTCCAGGCTTTGGACTAGGCCAGTCCAGTCATTGTATTCATTCTGGGATGTAGTCAATTGCAGTCCAGAGAAAGGATTATGCCATTAGAATCTCTACTCACAATATCTAGTGTTTTTCAGTCTTATTCAGGGAACCATTTATTGACAGCAACTTCAATAAAATAATACAAAATCCCAAAAACATCTTTTTTAGAATATGGTGAATGAAAGTGGTAGAAAGGAAGGAGTAAAACATTTTGTGTAGATTACACAGGTTACAAGAATCCATTAATCCATTAGATTCTCAGAGCAAATGTGTGATTATTATAGCACAATTCTCATCAGTTCTGATATTATTGTGATATTAATATAAGCAGTAGATGCTTTTCTTTATTTAAAGGTTTATGTATTGCTTTGAAAGGCAGAGCTACAGACAGAAGGGGAAACACACAGAGATATCTTCTATCCTGTGGTTTGCTTCTTAAAGGATCTGGCTGGTGCTGTGCCAGACCTGGAGCCTGGAACTTTATCTGGGTCTCCCACATGGATGCCAGGGCCAAAGGATTTGAGCAATTTTCCACTGTTTTTCCAGACACATTAACAGGGAGCCTGATTGGAAGAAGATCAGGCAGGACCCCAGCCTGTTGTCCATATAGGATGTTAGCAATCTCAGGCATCGGCTTAGCCAGATGTACCACAGTGCTATCCCCTCTCCCCCCTTTTTAAGTGTAACTTAGAATCATCTTAAATGAGAAAGACCTGAAACAATGATAGGAAATACAAATTTAAGATCAAACACAAAGGAAACATGACAGATACAATGAGAAAAAAGAATACATTTTGTGATTCTTGGTGGTTTTTGCTTTGTTGAAATATTGAATAAGTAGCTCACGGTTACTATATGAATTAATAGAATGTATTTTACTGTCTTTGGATTTATTTCAAAATGTCTCACCATTTTTGTAATATACTGATTCAGCCTAATATTTCTATTACTGACCTATATTATTTTATTCATGCAGACTGATGATCTTAGAACAAAATTGGATACTGCGTCTTCAAAATTTCAACATCTGTATACAATGAATGAAGCTCTTCAACAACAGTTGATATCTTTGAAAGCAATTGAAAAGAAATATAAAAAACTGAAAGAAGAGAAAAATCAATTGAAACAGACAGTAGTAAACTTGAGAAGTTATATAGAAATGAATATGACAGAACATGGTCAAATAGTGTTGTATAAACAGGAGGTTGAAGAAGAAGCAAGGCAGTACATTGTAGACAGATTAAAAGAAGTCAATCTGTTTTTACAGGTGAATTATATATTCATAGTGTGTCCAATTTGTTCACTGAAACTTATGATTTGGATATACCTGAGGATATTGTGTGTATTTCCCATATTTTCTTTATAATATTTTGTAGATTTCTAGAAGAGAAGCAGCATGTTAATGATTTTAACTATTTAAGTTTCATAATTATCAGAACCAAGCTGATCTTTCTAAATTATAATTTTCTTTAGTTTCATAATTATTAGAACCAAGCTGATCTTTCCAAATTATAATTTTCATTTGATTATTAGGATTAGCTGGCATAAAATCAGACAGTATTTAGAAATTATTGCTCTTATGTGACACTGTTCAGTTTTTAAATTTTTAATTAAATTTTATTCTCTGAATTATAAAATTATATGAGCACTAGCAGGAGAAGTTCAGGTTTTATTGTAGCTCAAAATTACTTCAGTGTATAGTAAAGATAAATATTTTAGATGTTATCTATTGTTCACATCTATAAGACTGTTCTCAGAATCACTGAGTGAAAAATGAAGAAACAAATATGCAACAATTTATCCAGAGTATAATTATCTTAAGGCATATTTTTTCTGATTTTACTTAGGCACAGTCAGCATCTCAGGAAAATATAAATCAGTTAAGAGAGAATAATGATTCTACCTTAAGGAGTCACATGGAAGTCAAAATTAATGATCTAGAATTTGAACTCTCTAAAATGAAAACTGCTCAAGATGCTAATATTACAGAATTGGAAAAATATAAACTGTTCTATCAAGAAGAATTAGAAGCTAAGAGATCATTGTCAAGTGAATTAAATGAGTAAGCTAAGCTGTGAATACTATAAAATAAGTTAAGCATATTTATTTACCTCTAAGCCATCATTTTTTAGAGATGGACTTGTAAGATTAGTAGAATAAGAATTCTAAGTGGACTAAATACTGCTGGAAATTATTTCAATCCAGAGCTGGATATTTGGTGCAGTGCTCAGGTGATTTCTTGGGTACTTGCAGTCCATGTCAGACACCTGGTTTGAGTCCCAGTAACTCAGCTTCTGTTCTGGATGCCTGTTAATGTTCACCTAAGGAAGTACCAAATATTGGTTCATATACTTGGCTCACTGACACCACTTGGAAGGCTCAGATGGGATTTCAGAAAACTGGCTTGGCCTGGCCCATCTCTGGCTGTTGTAAGCCCTTGTAAAATGAGACTTTGCCAGGAAGGTCTCTCTATTTGTGTCGCTGCTCACTCTTTCAAGAGATAATAAGACACTTAATATTAGGTTAAATGTCTTTCAGAGTCTCGGGACTCAAATCCAAAATGCCAAGTGCAACTATTGTTCTTGGCACAATCTGGCCCTCAGTAAGTTAATGTTCTCACACTTGATCTTAGCCAAAAGGCCCAGAAGCCAGAGTAAGTTAATGTTCTCTAATTGTCATCCTTGGTGTTGTCACTGAAGGGTGCCTTGAGAAAAATTATCCTTCCTGGTCTGCCAACTCCTGAAATAGGGAGATTAACATAGAATGGTTAACAATAAAACCCTGGGGCAAATATTACAATGTGGCAGTTTGGGTTGCCATTTAGGTGCCTGAATAGCCAATGTCAGTATGCTGCAGAAGGAGGCCTTCTTTTGTTTCTGATCCATTTCCTAAGGCTTGGAGGCAGTTGACAATCAAAGTGACTCACCTCCACGTTAGGGAGACACTTGATGGAATTCCTGACTCCTGATTTTGTTGTGGTGTGCCTCTGGCAGTAGCTGGTATTTGGGGAGTGAACCCACAAATGTAAGTCTTCTCTGTCTCTCCTTTTCTCCCTGTCTTTGAAGTAAATAAGTAAACAAATACCTTATTTTCTTTATTTCTGATATTTTTTATTTGAAAGAGTCAAATAAAAGGAGAACCAGAGGGTCTGTTGTGGTGACCTAACTGTTAAAGTGCAGGTTCTAATCCTGGAAGCCCCACTTCCCATCCAGCTCCCTGCTTATGGCTTGGGAAAGCAATTGAGGATGGCCCAAAGCCTTGGTATCCTGCACCCATGTGAGAGAACCAGAGAGATTCCTGGCACTTAGCTTTGGAATGGCACAGCTCTGGCTGTTGTGGCCACTTGGGGAGTGAATCAGTGGGTAGAAGATCTTCCTCTCTGTGTCTTCCCATCTCAGTATATCCAACTTCCCAACAAAAATAAATAAATCTTCAAAGAAGAAGAGCCAGAGAGGGAGACATCTTCATTCAGTGGTTCATTCCTCAAGTGGCTACAATGGCCAAAGCAAGGTAGACTGTAGCCAGGAGCCAGGGTCTTCAAGCCCATTGGCAGGGATGTGGATCAGAAGTTGAGCATACAGGACTTAAGCCAGTGACCAGGTGGGATGCGTCACAGTGCGTAACTTCACATGCTGTGCCACAATACCAGCCCTGTTTTGTTTTGTATTTCAAATAAAGAATTTAAGAAATAAACCGAACCTTTGTCAGTGTGAGGAGGAGTAGATGACAGAAAGTTTAGTTGCCACCTTTGATACCATGGCTAACGAGCTAATTGCCTTTGGGGCTGCTCTAGATCTTTTTTGTCATCAGCTTAACTAACCATTTGCCCAAGAGGTTGCTACCCTAAATGGCTATAGTGTCAAATGTTTATATTCCCAAGGTAAAGGATGAACTGCAAAGTGATAAAAACAAATGCTTGAAAATGTGTTTGAGGAATTTTATTTTTTCTGATCTAATTTAACTAAATACACAAGTGTTTCTAGCCTTTTTACAAAGATTTTGAGGGTTAGATGGTGGTACAGTGGGTGCATTCTGTATGAGAGTGCCAGTTTGAATCTTAGCTCTTCCACTTCTGATCCGGTTTCTTGTGGGAAAGATGGAAGGAGCCAGATAATGATCCCACTGCTTAGCACCCTACATGGGTATTGGAGACCCAAATGGGATTATAGGCTTTTGGTTTCAACCTGGCCCAATTCTGGTTGTTGCAGGCATTTGGGTAGTGGAACCACATATGGATTTAATCTCTCTGTCTCCTTTTTCTTCTCTCTCCTTTCTCTCTCCATCCCCTGGCCCTTTAATTCTATATACTTCAAATAGAAAAATATAAACATTAAAAAATATTTAAAAGACTTTTAGTATGTATTCAATGTGTTGACCATAATGTGTTGATATATTTATGTGAATAAAAGGTTATTATAGTTCCTATAGTTAACATGTTCATTATCTCTCATATTAGTCTGAAATATCAATATTGCTGACCTCACCCAAAAGAATCTTCTAAATAAAGATGTTCTAAGCAAGAGTCACTAGGCCAGCCATACATCATTAACAGTCATTTGTTACTCCTGCTTATTTTAGTTGTTCAATAGAAAAGGCACATGAACTGCCTTAGAAGAATTTACAAACCTGTAAACTTTATATTACTTGCGTGCTGTGACATATTTTGCATTGAAACATTGTTTAATGGAAAATTCCACCTGTTTTTGTGCACTGTGGTTCAGTGGCTTAATCTGCTGTCTCTGATGCTGGCATCCCACATGAGCATTGGTTTGAGCCTTGGCTTTTGTGTTTCTTCTTCTTCTTTGTTTTTTTTTTTTTTAAGGTTTATTTATTTATTGTGAAGTCAGAGAAGAGGAGAGACAGCGAGGAAGATCTTCCGTCTGATGATTCACTCCCCAAGTGAACGCAATGGCCAATGCTATGCTGATCCAAAGCCAGGATCCAGGAACTTCTTCCTGGTATCCCGCATGGGTGCAGGGTCTCAGGCCACAAGTAGGGTGCTGGATGGGAAGTGGAGCTGCCGGGATTAGAACAAGTGCCCACATGGGATCTTGGCTTTTGTGCTTAACAAGCTCCCTGCTACACAGTAGGAGATGTTCCAGTCATCAACATGGGAGGTCCTGATGCAGCCCAGGCTCCTAGTTTTGGCCTGGGCCAACTCCTCCAGCCATTGTGGTGATTTGGGGAGTGAACCAGTGGATGGAAGATGTATCTCTGTCTCTCTTCACTCTGTCTGTAACTCTGCTTCTCCAATTAGTAAATCTTTTTAAAATGCAAGACATTTAGGGATCACTAGGGTCAACTGGGTAAAGTGTCTTTTGAACCACTCACAGCACTAAGAAGAGACTAGCAGCAGTGAGCAAGGACCTTCGTAGAGAGAAGAAACTGAAGAGATCACTGCTCAGTGCTCTGACGGTGAGGCCTGTCCCAGAGGTGCCTTGCTGTGGGAATCCTGAGAACAACTTAGTGCTCAACAGAGATCTTGTTGTGAAAGAGAACTTGGTGATTCCTGTCTCAGGAGCACAGCAGTCAAATAACAGCATGGATGAATATTTGACCAAGGTTAGTGCAATCTTTTTTTTTTTCCCTTAGGGCTTCAGATTTGTTATAAAATTCACATTTTTAATTTAGTGAAAGATTCAGTTTGACTTATGTTTGCTATGGTTATAATTAACTTTGTTACTATGGAAATAAATTATAACTCTTGTTCAATAATAGAATTGAACCAACACTTTAAATTACTTTAACAGATGTGTCTGTATTATCTTTTAGAAACAGGAAACATTTTCTTCATAACTAAAGGTGTACTTGGAAATAATTTGACTTATTTGCTAATGGAATTTGGTTTGGTTGAAAATGCTATTTGAGTTTTAATGCACTATACCAAGTTTTGCACCCTTAATCATCTAAACATTTAACCACTGATGAATGTTTATTATTGATTGAAGGAATAAAAGATACTTATTTACATATGAAAGGATGTGTAGCACCACAAAATATTAATTTTTCTTTTTCTTCTAGAATGTTTCATGATCTTAAATAACACCTCTTTAATTACTCTTTAATTTTAACTTTTTAGCTTCAACTTTTGTAAAGTGTTTCCATTGATGGGAAAATGTATAAGTGATTAAGAAGTTAAATTAAGCAGATACTTGAAGTTGTTAAAAGTTTACTATCACTTGAATGCTTGATGCAGAAGATGGAAATAATGTCTATAAATATCAACAATCACAAAGCAGAACCATATATTTTCTTCCTAAACAGAAGCCAGTGAAAACATTCACACCATCCATATCTTCATTGAAGACACAGTAGAAACCATCCAACCTTACTTTGCGATTTTGTTCCTAGGAAAAATACATTTTGAGGATTTAATAACAGGGTCCGGGAGAGACTATCACTTGTAAAGTTGATAAAATTCAGTTGACTCAGTTTGAGATAGTTCTCATTTGTTTGCCAAGAGATCAATAAATCTCCATTTGAACAAAGCCCCCAAGCTAATTCTCATTATTGGTCACTGTTTTAAATTTTCAGTGAGTACACATTGAGTTGTAGTTCCATGTTGTCAGGCTTCTAAGTGCAGGGAAGAGAAGCCTAGGCCCATATCGGATGAAGATATGATCATGTTTTTGTGACTTCATACCCTGGTACATCACAGAATAGCAAGTCCAGAGTTTGTTAGTATTGTTTTAAACCAGTAGCTTAACTATTAAGCTACATAGTTTAAAAGAGAATAAAGTGATTGGTACAAAAAGTTGTAAGATTCTACCTCTTTTTATCACATTCTTAGCTCAGTTTCCTTTTAGTTTGTAACAAATTAGATGATCTTGTCTTTGTCCTCCAAAATTATGATGTAAGATTAGCAAATTAAAAAGTGTACCCTCAGATTTTAAGCAATATAAAAATGTCCACTTTTGCCACTCTTAATCAAGGTAGTACTGGAATTAACTTAATTAAGGAAGAGAAAGAAACAAATGATGTCAAAATTGGAGAGAAAAAAAATGAAAATAGGACTTCAGACCACGTAATGTTCTATACGGAGAAACCTAAACGCTACTCCAGAAAACTTTCAGAACTAATATAGCTATTCCGTAAAGTCACAGGTTATAAAATTAACATGCAAAAAAATAGTTTTGTAAGCTTAAGTTTTAAGTGTTTATTATAAAGATGAGGGGATTGCAGACCCATGTGGGCTACTCTTACGATGGAGAGGGACAGGAAGGTGTGTGGGGGTGGGGAGAGGGAGAACCTGCTGCACTGCTCTTTGCTGTCAGTAACACAGCATGATTTCCAGGGCAAGAGACAGTCTTCAGGTAGCCTCAAGGACCCCAATGGAGGGAAGAATATTCTGATTGTTTTATTTGAGTGACCTTGATTGGTTTGAGAAATTGTTGACTTTCTAGTACCAGAGATGAGAAATTTCTTAAAAGGCTTACTGGCTGTCAAGGTCCTCCTCACATTCAATTGCTTGTTCTATTTTGCTTGCTGTAAAACTTTCCATGAAGTGCTGTTTCACCAGCTTTTCTCACACTATTTTATAAGGAGCTTGAACTCTTCTGTTGGACCTTGGTCCAGGATCCTAAGGACTTGGGACATCTTCCACTATTTTTTCAGGCCATTTATAGAGAGTTGAATCAGAAGTGAAGCATCTGGGACACAAACTGGTTCTAAATGTGGGATATCAGCACTAGCAGGAGGAGGATTAGCTTCAGGTCTGGCAGTTACAGCCATTTGGGGAGTGAACCAGCTGATGGAAGACCTTTGTTCACTCTCTAAAAGCTGCCTTTCAAATAAAAATGTTTAAAAAACATAGAAAAGTCTATAATCAAGGAAGAAATAGACATTTAAATAAGTATTGTTATCAGCATCTTTCTTGTTAAGGATCTGGTGTGTTGACCTGGAAATGACACTAGCCCTTCCTCTTAGGAGTTCAAAATAGAGGAGCCCGACTGACTTAGTCGTTTCTAGTACTAATGTCCTGTGAGGGGGTATGGCTTAGATTGCTGCCGCAGTTGCCTTCCAAGCACTTCATCCCCAGATTACACACTTTCTCACACAATTGTATGTATCAGAAACAAATGCTCAGTGACCATCTAACCAGCTGGCTGTGTCTTTCCAAGATGGCAGCGTGTCTGATTTCATGTGATGTTGGAGAGTCATTTTCCTTTCAGAAAAACGTGATGCAGAGCAATCAAAATCTCGAGGATATGCTTTGTCAATTTCATGGATTGGACTAAATTTACCTCTTTCATGAAGATAGCATTCACATCCTCAATATGAAAAGTATTCTCTTTCAATTTTTTTCATGATTCAAAAGTTTTCTCATGAATATAACATGCTGATAACTACTGTCAGAGTGTGATTATAATTTTATTCTCTTATTGATAATGTTGGAACTCAAAGTTATATTAGAGAGTTGCTCTTACATTTCATGCCTAAAAATCACTGAACTGCATAACAGGCTTTGCATATATTTTTTCTTTGAGCTATATTTTAAACTCAGTATATCTGTCCTGGATATGAAGGAAGTAGCTGCCATGTATCTTCAGACTCAGAATAAAGATACACAATTCATTGCTGGCCTATAGTCAGTTGAGTCTGTGACCTAGGGATGGTGCAGTCTCTCTCAGCCAGGATACTCCATATGTGACATTGGAGACTTAGCCTATTGCAAGGGTTTTGAAGGCTAGAACCTTTTCTTTGTAAAAATCAGTGCATGAGACCATATGATAAAAGAAAAAAATATATAGCTTTGTAGAGCTTTGAAAATAAAGACACATTAGGATCTGAAGCTGTGAGTTCCTAACAGATAGTCTGCTCTGTAGAATGTAGATTTCTTTGGGACATAGTATGAAAAGTACCAGGTGGAAATAAGCATAGCTAATTAATACCTGGTGAGATGTTGTTCTTTCCTTCATCACATCCTGTGAAAGGGACGAGTTGCAATGACATTTCAGTTGTGCTCTTTTCCATGCTAATATTGGATTTCAAACTATTCCACCTTCTTTACTTTTTCCCCACATAAATGAAGTCTGTAAAGGAGTTTTTTTAAGGGGTAAATTTAGCTTGGTATGAAAGTATATCTAATTTCTGACTTAGTGTTATTCATAAAGTGAAGATTAACAGTTGATTAAGTGGTATTTCTCCTGGCAACATTCATTTTTTTTTTTCTTTAGCTATTGCTCTGCATAGTTCAGAGCCATTTTTGTTACCTTATGTAACAAAACAGGACTGAATACCACCATGGCACTATATTTTTCTTTTTCCCTCTACAAGTTGTGTCAGGAAATGCATTCAATAGGGGACAACAATTGTCCATATCTTTGTTTTATTTTTTCTGTTAGTAAGAATGAATAATGGGAAAGATAATTTTAATATATATTACTTGAAGGAATGAAGGGGATGGGAGAGAGCGAGAGGGATACTTGGATGTAGACACATAGACATAGCTCCCATCCATCCATTTATTCCTCAGATCATATACGAGCCAGAGCTACACCAGACTAAAGCCAGGAGATGGGAACTAACCTCCTATGAGTGTATCAGGACTCAATTACTTGAGTTTTCTCCTATATTGTGCACAAGAAGTTGAAGTCATAAGTGGATCCTGGGCTAGAGTACTCCAATATGGGAAGTAGGTATCCCAAATAGCATCTCAACTGCTGTTCCTAATACCTACATCTGACTTAACTTCAAAAAGACTTATTATTTTGGGGACTGGTGTGATGGATCAGTGGCTAAATCATCAACTGGCAAGTACTGAGCCCTGTATGGCCTCTGCTTTACGTCCCAGCCGCTGCACTTTCCATCCAGCTCCTTGCTTGTGGTTTGGGAAAGCAGTATAGGATGGCCCAAAGCCATGGGATCCTGCACCTGCTTGGGAAATCCAGAAGCTCCTGGCTTCAATTTGGCTCAGCTACAGCAACTGCAGCCACTTGAGGAGTGAGCCAGCAGATGACTATCTTTTTGTCTTCTCTGTAAACTTGTCTTTCCAATAAAAATAAACAAATCTTTAAAAACCAAACAAACTTAAAAAGGCTTGTCACTTTTAACTTGTGAATGTGGATTAAAGCACTCCAATTTTCTATCAGCTGAGAGAAAACCATAGCCTTCTCTTCTGCCCTTTCCAGGGTAATTTTTTTTTTCATTTTTAATTATATTTTTGACAATCTTTACATAGTTAATTAGGGTAAAAAGATTCAAGGGCTATAAGAAAGTGGGTAAGACTATTATTTCCATATTGTTTCCTTCATGTATATGGGGTAAAGAGGGAGATAAAGGGAGAAGCCCCACCCAGTCTCCCACCCATCTCAGGTCCCTGATGTGGGACATGCTCTAAGATTCTTGCTCAAGTGGTTTGATAGTTCACCAGTTATGAATTGCTGCCATTCTTGCCACTCCAAGCATGATAAGGTCATTGAAGACTGACATAGTCCATCATAGAGTCTCCATTTGCCCAGTTATTCACTGCCAACATATAGCTGAGGTGGTTGATGGACTTGCTCTGTCTTCTGTTTTTCACGGTTAGGGTTCTGAGTCTGGCAGTCCGATTGGGGAGATCCTCAAAGAAACTTTGTCTGAGGTGTTCCCAGACCAGATTCTTGTATGTACTAGCAAGTCCAGGGTAATT